ATTAGGATATTAATTAACTGTCATATATTTTCTTGAAATTCCTTTCCTCTTCACAGGAATACACTGTAATAATAAAATACCCTTTTTCTCTTAATGTATAAACCATTTGCTGCATGCTTACAAAATGATATCAAGTGTAAATCTAGTCCTGATAAGCAACCTTGACAAGGAAATAACTTAGCATTCAGAGTTCATAAGAAGGGAGGGTGGGAGAGAATGGGAGAGAAAGAGAGAGAAGGAAGGAGAGAAAAAGGATAAGATCTCAAATGAAATCAGCACAATGTGCTCCTTTAGGATTGGTTCTAGAGCAGATAAGCTTTCTATTCCTCCATAAACAGGTCAAAGAATCTCGGCATCAGAACTGTATTTACTGAAGTTTTCTGTCATTTGGTGAATTGATCACACATACAGTAAACAAACCTTTGTAAATATGAAACCAGATTAGCATTTTCAGCTTTTTCAAATGCAGAATTCTCTTTGAAACGGCCAGGCATTTTTCATAGACATTTAAATCCTATGCAAATAGTTACAGCAAATATATGAATCAGAAAAATGCACTTTCAACTGCAGTGACCACTCCTTTCTGTATCTCCTTTTATTTGAAAATAGGCAAACAGAGTACTGAGTTATTTCTATTTGCTTTTTCTGTTGAATATTTTTAATGGTTTGTACTGACGGAGGAAAAAACTGACGTTTAGTTGAAGTTGATACAACCCACAAGTGGACATGTCAAAACAAGCTATAGAAAGTTACTTTTGATGTGTTTTATTGAGATTTCTATGGTACTTTCCAATTACTTTATGCCAAAAAGGTAGCTCCGCTCAAAAATTATTTCTTTTGAAAACCACAGATACAACTTGTCAGCCTTTTGAATGTGCTTCAGTATTTTTAAAGAGATCCTTCTTAAAGTAGCAATTGTCTAGAATTTGTAACTGCTAAAAAAAAACAAAACCAAAAAAAGCAAGCAAGAATGCAATAAACTCAGTTTAAAAATCTTTACCTGATGTGCATAATTTCATGAAAGTGCTGACACCAGGTCACTGTTATTTCGGGTGTGCAAACGTGTTTTTGGCTTCAGTAGGTGTGTGCAGGAGTTAAAAAATAACCATGTAGAGAGCCAAGTTATTAGCTCTGTGATTGCTAGCGCTCTGAGCCAAAACTACAGAATATTTGATGACACTCGCATGTCCTTTCTATTTTAGGATTCTTCCTATTACTGCAGAGAAATGATCCAACCAGAAATTTCCCAGGATTTTCTGTTTCTTACTCTTTTAATTAGACCTTAAAACTGCTACCAAGAGAGAGAGAGAAAAAAAACCCAACTCATTCTTTTTCCGTACACAGAGATATGGTTTTCCCCACCTTAAACATACATGATTTGAGTTCAAAGGCTCAGCTTCCTGGGTGATAGTGAAGGTCTGTTGTTTAGCCAAAGGATCAAGGGGATACTGGGCTAAGAGATGTCAGAAAGCGTGTCTAGGCGGGGCAGGAGGTTGGTGGAGGTGGGAGGGATGGTAACCTTGATACCAAAATGTCCTCTCTTACCCACGGCTGCTATAACCACGGTGAAAAAGTGGGAAGAAAAAGCTGGATAAAATGGTTTGTGACTTTTATAAAGTGTGCGCTGCTGGGTGCCTGTGCGTTCCTCTCCTGCATGGTGGTGAGGCTTGCTGAGGCCCTGCCCTCTGATGGAACATGGCTGGGTGCACCAGAAACCCTGGGAGAGCTGCCCTTGCCCTGGGATGCTGATGGGCAATGTGCACACAAGCAACCCGGCTCAGTACCACCAGGCACATCCACGGCAGGTGTCACCAGAGCTGAAAGAGAAGCCCGAGGTGATGCCCAAAGAAGCGTCAGACATCAGAGACCTCCAGGAATATCAGCCGCAGCAGTATGGGTGCATGCTCAGACTGAAAAAAATAAACTGTTTAAAAAATGGGAGCTTCCATGGAACACTCTATAGCCCCTCAGATACAGACTTCTCCAACCTGAAAGACCAACTCTTCTGAAAAATACAAATCTCAGAAAGCCCTCCAACTGCCCAGAAACTTCTGCCTGACTGAATGGGAGACACCTAGGCCTGGTTACCCTACAGAAACTCAGACAGAGCTGGACAAAGGGTTTGTGGTTACTCTCAGAGGAGGCACGCAAATATCAAGTGTATTTTGTCTAAGAAAAGCTCTCCTAGTTTATTCAGGGCTGGGAGTCCTGGGCTGAAGCTCTAACTCTGCCACCTTGGCATTACACTCTTAGGGTAGCTTTTCCATATCCTACTTACGCTCATGACCCATGCCAGAGCATGGCCCACAGTCTCAAGCCTGAATGGGTAGGTAGATTTGTATCTATCCCACACACACCAGGAGCAGACCCAGACAACAGTAACCCATCGGTACTGGGCATTTCCTGACAAAGACACTATCAACCACTGTAGAGCTGAGGTGCATATACCCACAGTCATGATAGGGGGGATGAGATCCCAGAGCAAAACAAAGGCCAATGAAGATTTCCCACTAAAAGACCATAGGACATGGCACCATACAAACCCATAATATGGTCTGTATCCTGACAAACTTCCCACTGAAACAGATACGAGACAGGGAGAAGGGAAATGCTGGCTTGAAAATTCAAATTAGCCCCATTGAGCTTTGTATCTCTTTGCTGTTTATGTCCAACCATGTTCTGCATTTATCAGACTCCCAGTCTCCATTGGATTGGTACGTCCTAGCAAACCTTCTGTGTCCTCTTGCCAAAACTACTCTTGTGTACTTTCCTTTGGAAACATGCAGACTTTTAAAGTCCTGTATCTATATGTATGTCTGTATTGTCTCTCCTTGAGTAATGAACCCTGCTTTAGAAAGAACTGGAAATAGTTAAGACATAAAATCCATCATAATGGGGTAGGGTGGAAAAAATGAGAAGAAGCTAAAATTGCAGATGATAGTAATTTGTTCAAAATATTTACATGTGTTTTGATAAAATTATTATAATGCAGCCTCTGATAACTTATACAGCTTTTAGTGCAACAAAGGTGGTATGATTTTTACTATTTCCATAGAATCAAAGAATAGCTTAGGTTGGCAAAGAACTTTAAGATCATTAAGCCCAACCATCAGCCTAGCACTGCCAAGACCACCACTAAACCATGTCACTGAGTGCCACATCTACATGTCTTTTAAATACCTTCAAGGATGGTGACTCCACCACTTCCCTGGAAGAGTGTTCCAAGGGTTGACAGCCCTTTCGGTGAAGGAATTTTTCCTAATAACCCATTTAAACTTCCTCTGGTGAAACTTGAAGACATTTCCTCTTGTCCTGTCCCTTGTAACTTGGGAGGAGAGACTGACCTCCGTCTCTCTTCATCTTCCTTTCAGGTAGCTGTCAAGAGCAATAAGGTCCCCCCTAAGCCTCCTTTTCTCCAGGCTAAACAACCCCAGTTCTCTCAGCTGCTCCTGAGAACACTCATTCTCCAGACCCTTCACCAGCTTCATTGCCCTTCTTTGGGCACACTCCAGCACCTCAATATCTCTCTTGTAGTGATGGGCCCAGAACTGAACACAGTGCCAAGTGCAGGGGGATGATCACTGCCCTGTCCCTGCGGGCTACACTGATGCTGCTACAGGCCAGGATGCTATTGGCCTTCTTGACCACCTGGGCAGAATCTGGGTCATATTCAGCCAGCTGGATGACCAACTGGGTCCTTTTCCATCAGGCAGCTTTCCAGCCACTCTTCCCCAAGCCTGTAGTGTTGCATGGGGTTGTTGTGACTCCAGTGTGGGACCTGGCACTTGGCCTTGTTAAACCATCCTCATCCCATCAATCCAGCCTGTTCAGATCTGTCTGCAGAGCCTTCCTGTCTCTGAGCAGATCAACACTGCCACCCAACTTGGTGTTGTCTGCAAACTTACTGAGGGTGCACTTGATCCCCTTGTCCAGATTATTGATAAAAGTATTAACAGAGCTGGCCTCAGTACTGAGCCCTGGGGAACACCACTTGCGACCAGCCACCAACTGGATTTAACTCCATTCACCACCGCTCTTCAAAATTAGCCGTCCAGCCAACTTTTAACCCAGCAAACAGTAGACTTGCCCAAGCCATGAGCAGCCAGTTTCTCCACAGGAGAATGCTGTGGGCAATGGTGTCAAAGGCTCTACTAAAGTCTAGGTAGACAACATCCACAGACTTCCCTTCATCCACTAAGCAGGTCACCTTGTCATAGAAGGAGATCAGGTTAGTCAAGCAGGACCTGCCTTTCATAAGCCCATGCTGACTGGGCCTGATCACCTGGTTGTTCAGTACATGCTGTGTGATGGCACTCAAAATGATTAGCTCCATAATCTTCCTTAGCATCAAGATCAGAATGACAGACCTGTAGTTCCTCAGATCCTCCCTCTGACCCTTCTTGTAGATAGCTGGGCATCACATCTGCTAACCTCCAGTCAACCAAGACTTCCTTGGTGAGCCACGGCTGCTGATAAATGACTGAAAATGTCTCAGTGACCACTTCCATCAGCTCCCGTAGTACCTTCAGGTGGATCCCATCTGGCCCCATAGCACTGTGTGCATCCAAGTGGTGTAGCAGGTCACTGACTATTTCTTCTTGGATTATGAGGGCCTCATTCTGCTTCCCATCCCTGTCTCCCAGATCAGGGGGCTGAGTAGCCAGAGAACTGGTCTTACTGTTAAAGACACAGTCAAAGAAGGCATTAAGTACTTCAGCCTTTTCCACATCCTTTCTCACATCCAAGAAAGGATGGATATTCTCTTTAGCATGCGTCTTGTTGCTAATATATTTATAGAAACATTTTTTTATTGTCTTTTATAGCAGTAGCCAGCTCACTCTCTATTTTGGCTTTGGCCCTTCTAATTTTCTCCCTGCATAATAACCTCATGACATACTTGTAAGTCCTCCTGAGTTGCCCGCTCCTTCTTCCGAAGGCCATAAACCCTCCTTTGTTTTCTGTGTTCCAGCCAAAGTTCCCTGTTCAGCCAGGCCAGTTTTCTTCTCCACCAGCTCTTGTGCCTTTAAGATTTGCTTCTGGAAGAATGTCCAGGCTTCCTGGCCTCTTTTGCTCTTCAGGTCTGCATCCTAAGGGACTCTGTCAACCAGTCTCCTAAACAGGCCAAAGTCTGCTCTTTGGAAGTCCAAGGTAGCAATTCTGCTGATCCCGCTCCTTGCTTCTCTGAGAATCAAAACCTGTATCATTTAATTGTTATTTTGCTCTTTTATTAGCTTCAGTGCGTTTCACCTTTTGATAGATGTTGGTAGCTTTTCCCCCTTTTGTGCATGTGAGCCTCTTGAAACATTAATCTGTGGGCTTTAAAGATATAGTTAGAGACATTATGATAGGATTAAGAGCACTCTTTTCCCCTTGATGCATTAATTCATTAAAATACTTTCTCATTAAATTGCAAAGTGTATGTTGCTGACTGTTACCTTTGTTACTTTTGGTATCTGCAGCTGAAGTCTTTATATAGTCTTATTAAAATGTGTTCATAAAGAAGGTTATGGTGGATTGTACTGTAAAAGTGGCATTGGAAGAATACAAACATCTCAGGAAGAAAGAACTTAAACCTTGGTAAGGAAATCTGTATACAGCATTACACCGAAAGGAGAATGAAACGACCTCAAAGGCATTCTTAAATAATACCTGAGACTCCTTACCAGTATCTGAGCAAAAAAGGTTTGCAAAACACTAATAGGTGTAGTGTTTCCTGCAATGAATTATGCCTGTTGAGTATGGACTTTGTCTAGTATTAGATGTTTGCAGGATCGGGCCTAAGCTGGCTCCTCAAAGTAGAAAAGCATGCTTGCTGCAAGCCACTAGCTGTCAAAAATGAGCAACCTGCCAGCATATGGGTGAGGTTTGGCTCTTCTGTGCAACAAGGAATTCAGAGGACATTGCTATTTTTTGACAGTGGAAGGAACCAGATCAGGTTTTAACTTGACTGCAAATTAAAAGCTCACTGGGCGTAAGAAGAATACTCGTGCAAAGAGCAAATAGGCTGAGCAAGAAGAAGTGTGTGCCTGATCTTGCAGAGAGCCTATTAATGGAGTCATTAAAAAACTAATGTTCTGCTGTTGGTGAAAATGTTGCCCATGACTCATGGGCTGTATCAGTAGAGCTTGTAGCTCTCTGCCCACAGCCAGCTTAGTCTGTGAGCTTGACTTCTGTGCAAGCGTTTAGCTTCCGTTTAAAAATCAGCCTCTCTGCCCAGTTACTCTGACTGTCTGCAATTACCCCCGGCCAACCCACATGGGTCTGGGATAGACAGGAGACAATTTTCTCCTATTGTTGCTACTGTGCAGTCTCACAGTCAGCAAAGTAGTTAGATCCAGCTGCTAAAGACAGCTGTTGAAAACCACCTCTGATGCCTCCAGATCCCTGTGATATTGACTCCTTTTCTGGGAGTCATGCCACAGAGCTTGGCTCAGCCAGAGTTTCCTGCTTCTCCTCTGTATTCTCCAGCTCAGTGCTGGAAATCCCCAGTCAGTTCCCCTCTCCCCCAGCCCATGCCCTCAGGGCCAGCATGGGCCCATCTACCCTGGGTGATACCTGCTACCCAACGTTGCTCTCAGTGTGTCCCACACTTCCTGTACAGATGAGACTGCAAACTCGTGTGTTTGCCCTGTGTGTGCGTGTTTGTGGAGGGCTGATCCATCCTTCAGAAGGGAGGGAGTGTGGGTGAACCAGACTGGCCAGGAGCTGTGGAGACAGGGATTTCATCAGACATGAAGTCCTTATGCCTGCTTATTCTGTATTGTCCTCTTCCATCTGTTTTGTTCACCAATTGGTCTTCTGGACAGCAAGAAGGGCAGAGACTCTCCCTGAACACCACATCTTTATGCATATCCATCTGTTACTGTTATAGCAATACAACCCATTTTTAGTAAGGCTTGCATTTGAAACTTCATTATGGTCAATGTAAAATGCTGAGAATCTGCGAAGCTACCAATAAATGCTAAGATTTAAACATAGCTAGCATCCATTCAGGTAATTTTAATTGCTGCATAGTTTCAAAGTGCTCAAGTTACATTCTGATCATGTTTCCCACCATATTCTTTGAATTTTAAGGGCCAAAGACCTTTATAGAAAGAGAAAAAGGATATTTTTGAGCAAAATCCTGATTCCAATAGGGTAAGCTTTTAGAAGGTCACCAGTGACTCTGACACACAAACCAAAATATAAAATATGAGGATTCTGATATGTGATAGCAAAACTCCAAAGCAAGTTCAGAATGAGATTTCTTTATTTTATGAATCATTTAAAGCTTAAGACAAGAACTGTTAAAATTGATACTTTTTCAAAAAATATTTATTATTTTTCTAAAGCAGAACTGCTCTTTTTGACTGTTAGATTTTTAAACACCATGTGAAAAGAAAAACAAAAACAAAACAGAAAAAGAACAAACAAAAAAACCACAACAAAACAACAAAACCAGCCAACCAAAAAAAAACCCAACCCAAACTAAAGCAAACTTAAAATATAGAAAAGTCAAGTTAAACTTTTAAAAATACAGACAAAATGTTTGTTTGATGGAAAAGGCCTTTGATCAAAAATGTTTAGGGAAGCTTTGCTTCACCTGGTAGCCAAGTAAAGCACCCGTGTATTCGTTATTCCTGTTGTGCTCCACAAGTCAGACTGGGTCCTGTTATTGCCTATATACGGTGTAAGCACACCTGCATATGTAAAATGGTAGATAGCATAGCAAGGTATTTATGAAATGCTGCTGGTGATTGGGCATATGCAGAATGGGAGTATATATGTAGAATGCTGATCATTATAATAATCTTCACATACTCATGCCTGCGTTCCTTTTATTAAACTTTCTTTCAAGTATCACGATTAATTTCCAAAGACACAAAGATAACAACTGAGAAAATATGAGCTCATTTATCTACAAAGCCATATTGCATTGACTTTTTTCCACTGGAGTGCAGGACCAGATGCAAAAGAAACATTAGCACCAAGTGTATTTTTGTAAGTTCTAAACCTTTCAGGTTTACTTTTACCAAGTAGTCTTCTTTTGAGTCACCTGTCTGAAGCAGAGCAGAGATACATGGAACGAGACAAAAAATTCTGTGCATCTTCACACTCACTGAGGATTATTGCCCCTGTGTGCAAGGAAAGCTAGTATAGCATGGTCAAGAGCCTCAGTGCTTCTAAACACAATTGCCTAATGCAGCTGGTGGTTATGGGAGGCCATAGACATGCTCTGTTTCCAGACTAACTTTCATCCCAAAGCCTCTCTGCTCAGAATCTACTGCCGCTGTTGGAAAAGGAAGAGATTTTAAAATTATCTGCTTAAGAAAATATGTGGAAAAAATGACCAGCTTTTACTTACCTTTACTTAAAAAGGAAAATTGTATGAGAGGGATGAAACTGGTGGCAGGGGAGGGCAGAGGTGTCAAAACATTTTCCTTATTATTTTACATACAATAGAGTGGGTGATGGAGAGGACCAGGGACATACGTGGTCCTCTGCTACACCTTGCCCAATGGGGTTGCAAAAATGTGAGAAGTAGTTATAGGGTCAGTCAACAGACTGCTGGCCACCTCTAGTGGTCGCTAGGACTTGCAGGCAATTCATACTTCCTAGAAACGTGGTCTTGGTATGTCTGAAGGCGTTTGCCACTGGCTGTTTTACAGTCTGAGATCTGAGAAAGGTCTAACTTGCCTTGCTCAGGGAGGCTTTAGCAGTTGCAATAAGAATGAGTGCTCCATTAAGCAGGAGAAGTGTGCTGTTCCACTCTTTGCATTGCTATCAGTGGGAACCCTACAAACAGCCCACAGTATAGAAATGGCAAGGTGAACAGACATTTGGAGACGTGTACAATAAAGGAGAGCATTAATTTAAGAAATTCTGCCAGAGTGCATCAACAAGACTGACTGCACTTAAAAGGAAAAAGAAAAAAAAAAAAGAAAAGAGAAAAAAAGAAAAAAGATGAAAAAGAAAGGAAAAAAGAAAAAGAGTCCATTCCCAGTTGATGGGAAAGTAGGATGGTCTGAAAGGAATTGTCAATTTTGGTGAGAAAGAGAGCTTCACACAAGAAAAATGTAACTTTAAAATACACAACCACATGATGTCGGTATGCTTAATGGAGGGAAGGACTATATTAATCTGTTTGAATTGCTAATTGGGGATTTAGTTGGCTAGATTGGGGGTTATAAGATTAAGGCTTTTATTCTGTGTTTTTGTTCTTTTCCAAAGGTAGGAATCCTCTATAGATCCCCGCTCTTGGGAATCTAATGCCCTCAAATGCACAACTCGGCAACTGACGAGCAAGCTGATAAAGCATTCCTTGCAGATACTTAATGGGTACATTCTGTATCTCCGTCTGCATCTTTCTGTCTGCCTATCTTTTTTTCCCCCCCTTTAGCACACTTGGAGGAAGGTAAACAAACAAAACAAACTAAAAGAGCTACCTCTTCCTTTCATGTTTATAGCTGCTTTTCCAGAAGTATTTTCCATTTACAGAAATAACTCCTTAAATTTCTCCTGTTTCAAGGGTTAGGATACCTATTTTGTTTCAAGTTGCTTTGGCCAAATAGGACAAATGAAAAGATTCCTCAGGACTCTACACATTTTGCATTACAGTTGTACATCAAAACACGCTGGGCTCCTTGGAGGATGAGGCAGCTTCATGCAAGGCAGGCCTGACATGGCAGGACTCTTCCCATGTTGTTAGATGAACTCCATCAGTCACTATATTCCTTTCTCAGGCACAGATACCAGTTAATGGAGGAAGTACAGTTTACACTACCTTGCAAATACTGCAAGTCCTCACCACAAATGCAGTATAATATCTGAAATAATAAGAAAGATGTGGGGCAAAGGAGAGCCTTTATTTTTAAGATAGCAGGGGCAGTTTAGTGTGAGGTACATTTTTGTGCAAAGGGAAGCTGGTGAGGATGTGTTATTTGCACTGCTTCCAGTGGAGAGCTATGACATTTTAAAATTGTTGACTCATTTGTTGAAAAGTCAAATACAGTAAAATGTATTATGCATGAAAATGACCACAGAAATCCTCAGTTCTAAAGTATATACAGAAACCCTCTTCAGAAATCTTGTTGCAATGATTACCTGTATTTCCCTAAAAATCAAGGCAACATATCTTCCCAGCTTTTTTTTTTTGTAGTGGAAATGTT